AAAACTTGAGCATGAATCTTTGCGATGAAGCATATAAACTTGATGAAGAACATGCTGATAATCCACTTCTCAAAATATTACTTTCATAACCTGCTTTTAATGGCTGGTCTTTAAGTAGCAATTTGGTTATGTATTAAAGTGAAGCTTCATGGAATAAGCTGCAGATCTCTAAAGAATTAAAAAATGAAACAAATAACAAAAAAAATTTAAACTGCTGACTATAAATTTTAAATTTAAGATTAACTATGTTTGCTGCCCTTATAAATGAAGATCTAATAATTTCTGATAAATCCTCATTAATGCGTTCCCGCCAGCTTGAACCAACCACCAGCAGTCCAAGCACGACTGTCCCATGGAAGGGAGGCTTGTACCACGGTGCTACAAACTGGTCTAAGCACTTTTTAATCAGTCAAATTAATAAAAAGTCTACAAATGGACCAAATCTAATTAGTTGCTTGACTCTGAATACATACTGCTCCAATATAAATATTAATTACAACTATTCACACCAATTTTTAAAAATTATTTCTGCTGCTGCCTCTGCTTTGCTATTTCACTGCTTTGCTGCCTTCTGCCTGCCCCTTTATGGACTGTTTCTCCTCTGTGATGCCCCTCTGCCATGCCACAGAGCCTTGGAGCCAGCTAATTATGGACTGAAACCTCTCAAACTGTGAGCCAAAATAAACCTTCCTCCTTTAAAAGAAATTTTTTTAATTATCACAACAACAAATATATTTATTTCATTAAGTTAATAGCTTATCGATAATTCTCTAAATTTTAACATGGAAATCTTATAAGTACCCCATTGGTGGTGTATATAATATGCATTTACAATGGCTATAACCCAAATCAGCCACTCAATGGGACAGTCATGGGTATACCTAACGGGGCTCAAGCTGGCAGGGTGGTCGAATTCAAATCAGAGCGATGGGGTGAGACAGCAATTACAGCCCTGTCACGGACATGTTAACTAAAAATAATGTTAAAAGCCCAGGGCCGGGGATTTAGCTCAGTGGCTCCACCACCTGCCTCGCAAGTGCAAGGTTCTGAGTTCGATCCAAGGTACCAAAAAAAAAAGCCCTAAAAGACATATACTATCAGACACAAAGATGGACAAGTTTGCAGTAATTATGCTGCTACAGTATATGACTCTAGAACAGAAATGCAGACTAAATGATGAGATTATAAAGTCCATAAGCAGATGAAGACATATAATTATTTGGAAACCTGTATGGCAGTAGGGGAAAGAATGGTCTTTTTAATAAATGATTCTGTACCAAAAGGATAGTCACATGTCAAAAAATAAATCTCAATCCCTATCTCACACCATATACAAAAATCAACCCCAAATGTACAAAGAAACAAACAATAAAGTCTTTGGAAGAAAGCACAGGAGATTCTCTGCATGACCTTTTCTGAGATAGGCAAAGATTTCTAAGAAGGTTCAAAAATACTACTAACCATAAAGGGAAAAAAATTGATAAACCAGATTACATTATAATAAAAAACTTCTCAATGGAGTACTACTCTGCTATAAAGGATAAACTTGAGTCATGTGTAGGAAAATGGATGCAGCCTGAGACCTTAGTGTTAGGTGAAATAATTCAGAGACTCAAGTTTCAAGAGTGCATGGTTGAGTGCAGACTGGTGCAACCACTATGGAAATCAGTATGGAGATACCTCAGAGAACAAGGGCTAGAGGTTCCATTTGACCCAGCTATTCCCCTGCTGGGGATCTTCTCAAAAGAATTAAAAGAATCATACCACAGAGATATATGTGCATCCATGTTTAGAGTGGCACAGTTTATAATAGCAAAAGCTTGGAAACAGCCCAAGTGCCCATCAACTGGAGAATGGATAAAGAAGATGTGGTTTTTTTATAAAATGGAGTACTACTCAGCCATAAAGAACGAGAAACTAGAGACATTTATAGCTAAATGGATGCATATTGAGGCCATCCTCTTAAGTGAAATAAATAGGACACACGTGTAAATACCAAATAGTTTCTCTAGTTTGAGAAACTGAAAGTGTAAATAAGGATTAAAATGATTAAAACGAATAACTGATAATTTGAAATAGGAAGAAAAGGTCCAAAGGGGTAGGGGTGGTGGGAAGGGAAGGGGAAAGTGAAGAAGGGAAAGGAAAAATTACGAGAAAAGGAAAAAATGGAAACAAAATCTATGCAAATAGGGAAGGGTGGAGGGGGTGAAGGGTGCACAGGTGATGGGGAAAAAATAAGAACCAAGATGCATCATGTTCAGGTACAAGCACCCAATGATAAATGTAAATGTATTGTACACCTAAAATGTACCGATAAAAGAATTTTTTAAAAAAATAGTGCATGGTTTCTCCTAGATGAGAAACTCAAAGTATAAAATAACTTAAAGAGCAAAATAAAAGGCAGACAGTAGGAAACAGGAAGACAGATCTTTTTCAAATGGGAAGGCAAGCGACAGATGGGGGAGGGGTGGCAGGGGAGGGGGATGAAAAAGAAAGGAGATGTGCTGTGAACACGCACCAACTCCCCACTACGAATGTACTTAGTGTGTACTGCAAACATTCAATAAAAATTTCAAAGAGAACTTCTCACTGAAAGATAACATTACAAAAGCGAAAGGACAGGTCACAAACTAGAAGATTCTTGTAATACACATATCCAACAAAGGATTTTCACTTAGAAAATACAAAGAATTCCTTCAGTCAGGCATGGTGGCGGGTCCCTGTAATCCCAGCACTCGGCAGGCTGAGGCAAGAGGATCCCTGTGAGTTCAACCCAGCCTGAACTACACAGTGAGATCCTGACTCAAAAAAAAAAAAAAAAATTAAAAAATTCCTTCAAATCCATAATAAAAAGGCACACGATCATTTAGAAAAACAGGCGAAAGACTTGAAAAGGTACTTCATCAAAGAGAATATTCAAAGGTCCACAACTGAAAAGTGGTATTGCTACATTAGTTACCAGAGAAATGCAAATTGAAATCACAACGTAATAACAATGCACATCCACCAGAGGGCTACAATTAAAGACACACAATCAGACATGGTGGCACATGCCTGTGATCCCAGCATTTGGGAGGCTGAGGCAGGAGGATCACAAGTTCAAGGCCAGCTTGGGCTACACAAGGCCAGCCTGTACTACATGGTGAGAGCCTGTCTCCAAAAATCAGAAATAAATAAATAAAACACAAAGCAAGTTTTGGTGAGGACGCAAAGAAACTGAAGCACTTAGATGCTGCTGCCAGAGGGTAAGTTAGTATAAGCACTTCGGAGAACTGCTTAGCTGAATAAACAGACTCTAGGACCTAGAAATTTCACTCTGATGTATAAACTAACCCAGAAAAGAGTATCTTATATGCATATGCGTGTATGCACATTTTTTCCACCAAAAGGCACCAGACTATTCATAGAAACATTGTTGATCATATTCAAATTGGAATAACCCAAACAAGGATAAATTTGAGCTGTGTTCAACTGATACTCATAACAACGTTGCTGTACTCAGCAAATACATCAATCTCACAGATATTGAGAAAAAGAAGCCAAACAAATAGAAATCTAGTATGAATCCATTTGTATAAAGTTCAAAACAAATTTATATGAAGTTTAAAACCTGTCATATTGAGGCCGGGGATTTAGCTCAGTGCTTTCGCCGCCTGCTATGCAACCACAAGGACCTGAGTTCAACCCCCGGTACCAAAAAAAAAAAGGAAAAACCTGTCACATTCAAAGTCAGGACAGTGATTACTCTGGTAGGGAGAGGGGACTTTCAGGACACTGGTGATGCTGTCATAATAGCCGGAAGGGGGTGCTGGCCAGGCATTTCACCTTGTTACAATTCTCTGAGCGATGCAGGTATCAATTGTGTACTTTTCTGTTTGTACACTATACTTCAATAGTCTGCTTAAAAACAAAGCTGTTCAAGACTGCAGATTTAGCTCAGTGGTTCCGCCACCTGCCTCACAAGCACATGGTCCTAAGTTTGATCCCTGATACAAAAAAATAACACAAAAAAACCAAAGCTGTTCAACAATTTTAAATATCCCTTTTTTGTTGCTATCCCCAAGGACACTTTAGGGAATGAAAATGAGATTCTGCTGAAACCCTGCCAGGAATCTTGAGATTAAATGGAGGCTTCTCAACTAAATTTCCATTTCCTGCAGTCCCAATTCTTTTGAATTCAACTAATAAATTGTAGAACAAAAGGTAAAGAAACAGAATTAGTCTAGATAAGGTGTAAATAATGCCAGAAAAATTAAGAACCTCAAACAAGTATGATAAAAATTGTTGTGTATTTTGTAACTGTAGCTTTGCAATATAATCAGGAGTTAAAATGAAAAATGTAAATGAAAAAAATCTAGTATAACAAAATTTCATAATTCAGCCCTGGATTGCAGCCCTGTGATGTTTACTATGCTACCTGGCAAAATCAAGCTGTCTCACAACATTAAACATGCTGTAGTTAGCTTTTGTTCTTCTGTGGTGCTGGGTTCAAAGCCAAGGTCTTCTGCACGGTAGGTAAGAGCTTGGCCCCTGACCTACGTTCTCCACCTTTTAACAAATTTTACTTTGAGACAGATCTCACGAAATTGCTCAGGCTGGCCTCAAACTTATAATCATTCTGCCTCAGCCTCCCAAGGGCTGGGATTAACAAAAAAAGTGCTATAATTAAGAGCCATTTAATTGGTGGCATCTCTCCAATCGTCACCCTTCAGGAGGCTGAGGCAGGAGGATCACTTGAGCCCAGGAGTTTGAGGCTAGTCTGGGCAATATAGTGAGACCTCATTTAAAATAAAAACAAACAAACAAATGCAATTGGGCTGGGGATGTAGCTCAGCAGTTTCGCCGCCTGCTGCGCAAGCGCAAGGACCCGAGTTCGATCCCCAGTACCAAAAAAAACCAAAACAAAACAAAACAAAACAAAAAAAAATGCAATCGCAGAAAATCTTCAATATTGCAAGCCCCATTACAAACAGAATTCATTTTTCTTTAGTTTTACTTACTTAGTGTGTTGTGGCCTGTGTGAATACCTTGTATAACAGATGTTCTGAATAACACTTCAACATCGGAACCTATTTTCATCAGCTGTTAAGAAATCCAAACAAACAAAATAAATCGTTTGGTTTTGAAAACTATACTTTTATTCTTTTTATCTTATTTATTTATTTTTTGGGTTTTTTGGGGGAGTACTGGGGATCAAACTCAGAACCTTGCAATTTTGAGGCAGGCGGCGGAACCACTGAGCTAAATCCCCAGCCCAGTTTTTGGGTTTTTTGAGACAGGGTCTTGCTATGTAATCCAGGCTGCCATGAACTCACTATGTAGCCCTGGCTGGCCTCAAACTTCTGGCGATCCTCCTGCCTCGGCCTCCTGAGTGCTGAGATTACAGGCGTGCACCACTACTCCCAGCTTAGACTTCTTTTATAAACAATACTGCTTTTCAACATTTTGCAACTATCCAGCCAGTATACAAAGCCCAGACATACATATGTATAATTTTAACTTTTATCTATCCATTTCTTATTTTGTTCCAAAATAGATCGAGTATTTTCATTATAATGTATATTTTTAAATGTATTTAAATGGATACTCAGGGGGGAGGTTTTTTGTTTTGGTTTGGTTTGGTTTTTGGTACCTGGGATTGAATTTGGGACCTTGCACTTTCGAGGCAGGTGGTGGCACCACTGAGCTAAGTCCTGGCAGGAGGGAGGTTTGTGCAGTGTCGGAGACTGAACCCAGGCCTCACACATGCTCGGCAAGCGCTCTCCCACTGCGCCACATCCCAGTGCCTAGACCCTGCGGGAGTGGGATGATGTCCTGAACAGCAGGGAGTGCTGGCTTAGACTCGGACCGCTTGGGCTCCAACTCTGGCTGTAGGCCTCAGCTAAGCACCCACTCTCTTTTACTTTCAGACCTCATCAAAGGCACACTGAAGAACCAGACTAAAACAATGGTTCTCCAAACTGCAGAATCCAGAGGGACTTTGAGATCCTCTCAGGGATCCTTGAAGTCAAAATTATTTTCAGAATACTAGCGCCTTCAATAGCTTGTGTGGTGAGCAGAAGTAGAGCTTTCTCTATGAAAATATAACTTTTTACCTGAAAAAGCCAACAAACTATGATTTCTCAGGCTCAGATATCTGGCAGACATTTTCTTCAACATGAATGAAATAAGTATGTCACTGGAGGAAAAGAATTAACAGTGTTTCCTGACAATGATAAAATGCAAGCTTTCAAGCAAAAGTTGGAATTCTGGAGAACTCGAGTCTACTCCAGTGAGCTTGACAACTTCATAATACTTGAGGATCTTTCTGATGAAATGGGTATCAATATTAATGGGTGCAACTTTAAGACACAGCATCATATAAAGAACTACGTCGGCATTTGGAAGACCAGTCTTCCTTAGTGAGCCTGTATTTTCCAAATCACCAGGATATGATGTCATAGTCGAGTACGGGTAAAAAACCCAGTCAAAGGGAAAGACCAGGTGATACTGACGGGGCAGGGAGGACGGCAAGTGGTCAAATTCCAGATATATTTTGAAGTTTGAGTCAGTAAGATGTGTCACAGGTAGGAAACGGGAAATGAGAGCAGTAAAGAAACTGTGTGCCAGTTTTTGGTCTGAGCATGAGGGGCAGCCATTTAGTGGACACCAAGGCTGTGGGCGAATGAAGCCTCCCCTCCTGATACCAGGGAGGGGCCTGGCTGGGCAGGGAAAGGAGAAAAGCACCCTCCTCTACTCGTGCAGGTGCAGAAGTGGAGTCAAGCCCTAGATCTTAGGCTGGACGAGAAAGAAGGAACTGAGGGGATCAGCGGTCTGAGCAGGAGATGGTCTGTGGGAATCCTAGAGCCAAAATCATCCACTGGTCTAGCATAACAGCAACTAACCTTGAAGAAATTACCACTTGTCAGAGTATAATATCAAAGAATATTCACAATTACCTGAAAAGGCTATTAGAAACATTTACCCTTTTCTTTCTTTCTTTTGTTTTTTGAGACAGGGTCTCACTATGTAGTTCAGCCTGGCCTTGAACTCACTATGTAGCCCAGGCTGGCCTCAAACTTGTAGTCCTCCTGCCTCAGCCTCCCAAGTGCTGGGATTACAGGCATGCATCACCAAACCCAGCTACTTCTACCCTTTTCTAACTACATATCCGTGTGAGACTGAATTTTCCTCATATACTTGAACCTAAAAAACATATTGTACTAGATTAAGACGGTACAAGAATTTTGCTACTTCTATTGAGCCAGACATTAAGATCTGTACTGGGGGGCCGGGGATTTAGCTCAGTGGTGCCACCACCTGCCCCTTAAGCATAAGGACCCAAGTTCGATCCCCAGTACCCAAAAAAAAAAAAAAAAAAA